CCGTGCGCTGCTCGCTGCGGGAAGGTTGGCGACGACGGCGGTGGGGCGGCCACGGCAGAGGATGAACGCGCGGGCGGAGAAGACGAACACGCAGAGGAGGATGGGGACTGGGGAGAAATGGGGAAATAGGGAATGGCTAGTGGTGATGGGTGGGCTGAGTAAATGAGAGAGAGAAGAGGCTAGGGGTAGGGAGGGAAATAATACCTGTGGCTATATGGGGTGAAGCAACCCGTTGTGGGCTGAAGTAGTCTTATCCTGTTGCCTAAGATTGTGAAGAACCTAGCTACAAGTATCCTCCATTGCAAGATGGGTGCCCTATGGAGTGGCTTCGGTTAGTGAGGGCACCCATAGAGTGTCTTTGATTGCTGATGCCCTAAGGCCATGTACAACGCATGTCTTCGGCTCGTAGCCCTAGCGACGTCGTTCGGTTGCTGTCACTTTTCAATAAGCAGAGAGACACGGCGTATCTGTGAGCAGAGAAGACGTGTCTCCCTGCGCTCCTCGACTCCTCCCCGATCCACAACCCATGGCTCCGTGTTGAGCGATGCCGTGGCCACGCCTCCTTCTTGTGGTCCCGGCTCCCGCAGGGTATTTTTCCCTTTCACTCTCGGCGGCGCGGTGAGGAGAGGCTGGAGGCGATGGACTCAACAACGCGTTGGGGCGGAGTCAGTGGAGCGGAGGGGCGGAGTTGGTGGCAAGGTAGGGAGGGGTAGGAGGCGTGACCCACCAGATCTGGCGGCGACGAACAGAAGGTGAGAGAGGTAGGGGTGGGCAGAATAAGACCGAACCGAGAAAACCAATGCCGAGAAATTAGGTCTCAACTAGTGAAAGATCAAAATTTATTCGCTCAATTCGATCAGTGGCATCCATCACCGCCTCTGCCTCCATCACCGCGGCCATCCAAAACTACAACGCACCAGGGCTATCTTCTACAATGGCAAGCTATCTCGGCGAAGGCACTGCGTTGCAAAGAATGCAAATGCATCAGACCAAGAATGCATATGAATCGACGGAACAACATATATATGCATGATCAAAAGTGATTGCACGATTTATATATCTGTGTGAACGGCAAGACGATTCATTTTTTACAAGGGAAAAATGGCATGGCATGGTGACATCTACGGAGAAATCGTTGAAAAATAAGCACCAAATACAAATTTAATGGCTTAAGAATCGACGCCCGAAGTTTCGTCGAAGCTGCCTTCGTTGAAAATTGGACGCCGACACCTGCACTGGCGAAGTTTCGCGGAAAGCTCTGGTGGTGGTGGAATTTTCTGTGGAGGCTGGCCGGCGACGACACAAACGAAGTTCAGGGAGGAGGGGAACGAACTGGACGTGAGGAGCGATAACTAGGAAATCGGAGCTCTGCCTGAGTGCCTGTGACCTATAGCAAACTTCAAACATATCATACATGGTGATTTCTCGTTACAAGGAGTTGTATGGTCTTGTTGTTGTAACGGAAGTGCGTTTACTCCTTTTCATTTTTGTGGCAAAGCATGATCATCTTTAGGCCGAATTGTATACTGGATTTTAATTATGCATGTCCACACCTTTACTGTTCGTTCGTTTTAATGAGTGAACCTAAGCCCGGTTTGAACATTTATAATAATCGGCAAAAGGTCGATACGAATGACTTTACTGTGTGCAAAAAGTCGATGAATTCGTTCGGTTGTGGATGCCTTGCAAAAGTGAGAGAGTGGAGGTATGATCCAAGGGGATGGTCGGATGGATGCATGAAAGGTTTCCTTCTTTATTTCGCTGTGATCTCGCGTCGAGAAATTCCATTAATCCATTGTGAAGTTCAGACCTTGAATTTGCACGTACAGGTCGACAGGTAACAGGTTAGATAGGAAAATAAAAGAAGGAAGAACAGGTTTAACACTGTGAAGGTGAATCTGACGAATTAATTAGCATCTTCTATGCAACCGCTGGATTTGCCCCTCGCGTTGAGAAAGCCAAAAGACTTTCTCTTGAATATCTTTTTCTGGTCGTAAAAAAAAAACTCGAAAAAGGCTCAAGTTGCGGTTGGTGGAAAAGTCTATCACGAGGTCGGAATCACAAGTAATATCTGCATCAAAAGTAGAAAGAACAATAGTACAAAGCTGCATCTGTGTTTTTAGTACAAGTACTAGGAAATCAATTAAATATTCCGCTGTTCGTGCTCTTTCCAGTTTTCTAATCGCGTCATCATGCTCATCATCGAATAAGATTCTCCTATAATCCTTCGGTTCCAAAATATATCAATAACTTCTTCACCAATATTTCTTTTTAAAATAATTATGATCCTTCACCATTCAATTTTTATATCTACCTTTACTTCTCAACTAATCACAATCTTACACCATTTAATTCTACATATTTTCTTTATTATCTAAATTTTTTTTACCTCTTTCTTTAATAACCGTGTCTAACTTTAAAACTCATTATATTCTGGGACGAATGAATCATATCATTATTTTTTTTCTATAAAATGCACGAAAGCTGACACATCTCCGCCCAAATCTCTCGTTTTCCGTTCGCTTCACCAGTCACAGCTCTATCATGGCTTCGCGCGTGCCACCGATCGTCATCTCGGCCTTCTCGATCTTGCTTGGGGCCCTCCAGTCGCTCGAATCCTTCCTCGCCGCGTCGAGCGCGACCTCGCCGTCGCTGGATCGTGGCGCCCAACTCGCCGCAGGTGCTCTCTTCTTTACCATTCTGATCTCTGTCGAGCTCACTTGTCTCCTTCTGTTCGCATATGTCGGCAAGCTCGGCGCCGCTGGTGGAGCGGGGCACGGTGGCTTCTTCGCCGTCGCCACCGCAACGCTCGCCGCCGCCGCCGTGACAGCTCTCCTCGCCGAGCCATCCTTCCTTTCTTTTCCGCTCGCGCAGGCGGAATCGAGTAGGTGAGGGGGAAGTGAGATCTATCTGATCGCTCCTCCTCCGGTCGTCGCCGTCAGGCGTTGATCGAGGCAGTTGGGCGTGCTTGTATCTTTCGTTTGTGCAGGTCTATAAAGCTATTGGATTTTGATGGAAATTGGAAATACTAGCAATTCTACTCGATTATTATATACGGCCACTGTTACATGCATCTTAATTTCATTTCCTTTTCTTCCCGGTTTCAATCGGCAATAAGCTGCAGACCTGCAGTATCAAATCCGAGACGATATGATGGAGCTTGTTATTTTTCTGTTCACGGAAAATTATTGCTTTTTCTGGATCTTTTGTGAAAACTTTGTTTTCTTTATCGGAATTGCTAGAGGACTGTCGACAGTTTTTTTTGAGTGAAAACTGTCAAATTTTTTAGCCGTCGATTCTGCTTTAAGATTTGTACTGAGATATTTTGCTATTAGATCTAAACCCTCTTTTCACAAGCTAGTCCCATCATTGCATGTTTATGGTAGATTTGTTCAAGTTATATCTAAGTTATATTCCAGTTACATGCTAGTTACATTGTAGTTACACTATAGTCACAATGTAATTATAGAATATAACTTAGATATAACTTAAACAAATCTACCATAAACATGCAATAATATATAACTATAGTTACAATGTAATTATAGTGTAACTACACTATAACTATATTGTTATCTCTATATAAATTACATATAAAGTTGCATATATTATTTTAATACATATATATAAGTTATTATTAGTATAGTATAGATCTAGTGAAATTATATACTATAGTTAGATTTGAAAGTTTTCTCCTCAAACATTGGACAGTTTTTTAGCTAGTCCCTTTCTTTATTGTTTGAAAAAGTTAGATTTTGTTTCTTTATGTCCTTGTCGGGTTCCGCCAGCATCTGGAATAGAGCTACCAATACACATGGAAGTAGATTTTTCTTGTCACTTTCCCCTTTTTGTTTTTAAAAGCTATAAACTCGTACTCCTACTTCTTTCGTGGAGTACTACAATAATCCATACTACTCCCTCCGTTTCAAAATGTTTGACACCGTTGACTTTTTAGCATATGTTTGACCGTTCGTCTTATTCAAAAAACTTTTATGAGATATGTAAAATTATATGCCTACATAAAAATATATTTAACAATGAATCAAATGATAGAAAAAGAATTAATAATTACTTAAATTTTTTGAATAAGACGAACGGTCAAACATGTGATAAAAAGTCAACGGCGTCAGACATTTCGAAACGGAGGGAGTACAAATATTTTTAGCCCACACTTTTCAACCTTGCGGCGATTTTATGTGGTGGGCGCATGTGTGGCCTATATAGTGGGCCTGATCGGTACGGCAGCAGCTCCAACACAAAATCTGTTATAGATACTGTAGATTTTTACTTTTTCTTCTAACGTTTGACCACTCGTCTTATTTAAAAAATTTATGCAAATATAAAAAATAAAAGTTGTGCTAAAAGTACTGTGAATAATAAAGTAAATCACAAATAAAATAAATAATAATTCTAATTTTTTTAATAAGACGAATGATGCAAGTAAAATATCAAAATACTTATATTATGGGATGGAGGGACTACCGATCAAGTCCAGTCAAGTTAGTTGAAGAGAATTGGACTTTCCAGTAGATAGTGCGAGAACAAATTGGACTTTCCAACGTTAACTTATTTTATATAACCATAGCACACAAAAAACTTTTACTAGCCAGCCAGTATTACGAGGGTCAGGTACACAATTTTTTTTTACTGTGGAACTGTGCTATGAATTACTCCCTCCATCCTAAAATATTATAATTTAGGATGGGATGAGACTTATTTTAAGATTATAAATCTTAAAAATAATCGTTACTGTACATATGCGGCAATGATTCCACCACTACTTCCAAATTAAGATAGCATCGCAGGAGGATCTTAGATTTTGTTGCGAAGGTAACAATGGATGGAAGCATTGAACAATTGAACTAAACTTTAGTCCCTCTCACAAAAGAATAAGTCACTACCCTAAGGACTTATGTTTTTAAGAGAGGGGCTAAAGTTTAGCAACTAGAGACTAAACTTTAGTCCCTCTCATAAAAGTGTCCTTACCCTAAGAACTTATGTTTTTGAGAGCTCGCAAACACCCCCTTAAAAAGTCTCATTTCTCAGGGCAGTCTTTGCATGGGGCATTGATTGACCTGAACAAGTGTGGTCTGATTGGAGTGGGCTGGTAGAAAAGCAGTTGAAAAGTTGGGCACATTGGACCTACCGCCCAGTACCGACCTGTCCGAGCCTCGGAGACACGAAGTGGATGTGCTGCTGCGTGACGACGACCGGGCGACCATGACGCCGCACGCCTCCGCACCGAGCCACTCGTTGATGGCGCTGTATGCCAAATTCCTCGGCGTTAGCGGTCAAGCGAGCTGGGCTGGGGTGAGCGTGGTTGGTTGGTACAAATCGCGTTTGAAGTTTCCGAAGCTGCAGACAGATTACTCAAAGTAGAGACGCAGCGAAAATTGAAGCTGATTCCTGGAATAAACCAAACGGCATATTTACATATGAGAAGTAAGGTGTTAATAAAACTTTTATATACGTGTTCTTAGCAACCTAAAAGCAAAAACTGAAAAATAAATTTCGATAAAAAAACCCCAAAATTAGCTTCAAATTTAATGTTGAAAATGTAAATTTTGGCTAATTAGTATAAACATAAGCGAAAAGATGAAGCCATTAATTTCTCCATTACTACCTGGCTAGCTAGCTGTGCTGTCTGAGAGAATGTAATAGTGTCGTGAACTAGCTAGAGAGAGTATGCAGGGTGTGTTTAGTTCCTGATATTGGGGAGAAGTTTGGAAAAAATTGATAGTTTGGAAAAAAAAGTTAGGAGTTTATGTGTGTAGGAAAGTTTTAGATGTGATGTGATGTGATGGAAAGTTAGGAGTTGGGAAGAAGTTTGATGTGAAGTAAACATACCGTAGTAACGAGCTATTAAGTGAAAGCCTTTAATTTTCACGTTCGGCGCAGACAGCCAGCCAGCCAGCCAAGCCACAGGAATCTACGGCGCTCGCGCCCGCAACACTCGCACGGCACGTTTTATCTAGCGCGCACGCACCGGCAGTCCATCGATCGGCTCTAGCGACAGTACGATTATTCAGCGTATTCAGCGTATTCTGTTCACTGCTGGCCGCTGCTCGCGTCGCGCACACGCAGCCGGCAGCTCGATCGGTGGATCACTTAGGCCCGGTTTAGTTTTCAATTTTTATTTTCTAAAAAAGTCACATCAAATATTTAAACACATGCATAGAGCATTAAATATAGATAAAAATAAGAACTAATTGCACAGTTAGAAAAAAAAATCACGATACAAATCTTTTGAATTTAATTAGTCCATGATTAGTCATAAGTGCTACAGTAACCCATACGTATTAATGGCACATTAATTAGGCTTAAAAGATTCGTCTCACGGTTTCCAGATGAGTTATAAAATTACTCCATTCGTCTCAATATATAGCAACATGAGACAACGAATCTGGACTGTCACATGAGACAACGAATCTGGACTATCCAGATTTGTTGTTCTAGGATGGGCCTCATCCTATTGTAGGGTGTTATATATTGAGACGGAGGGAGTAGTTTTTTCATTCGTGTCACAAACTCTTTCCGACATCCGACCAAACGTCCAACGTCCAATGTGACACATGAAATTTTCTTTTCACGAAGTAAACATGGCCTTATTCACGTTCCGACGTACGTACGCGCGGCACGGTGTGGATGTGCCACAACGCGTTAAAGACCTCACAACGCGGAGGCCCGATCGAATTAGCCGAACGCTACGGAAATTTCTTCGTACTAATGCGCGGCCTGTAGAGTTTGGAGTGTCTTGAGGCGCACAAACTGGTTAATTCAGCTTGTACATACAATCGTCGTAATTAAAACAACGCTGATAAAATTTCAATAGGATTATGTGGGTCGACTCGTTTGAAGAAATTAATGATCTTTGCTAAAGGGATATCCATAATATTCAAATGTTTATGAAAAATTTTAACTATATAGATTAATATGTAATATATTACTCCATAAACATAGAAGATCAAATTAAACTTTTAGGACCCCTTTGAATCGCATGAATAAGAAAACATAGGAATAGGAAAAACGCAAGATTTTGATAGGAATGTAACTGTAAAACAGAGGACTGTAAAACATAGGAATGGTCGTTTGATTGGATCACAGGAAAAACACAGGAATTAGATGAAAGATAAAGACTCAAAAGAAAGTTTTCAAGAGATTTTATCTCATGTTAGAATTCCTCCAAAACTTGCATGGCATTAGGTAATTCATAGGAATTTCATAGGATTCCATAAGATCCATTCCTTTGATTCAAAGGGCTATATATGAAAAATTCTAATAGAAATAAAATCCTCTAAAATTCCTATAAATTTCATTTGAATCAAAGGGGGCCTTACATGTTGCAACGAAAAATGTTTGACTATAAATATACGTGAACTAGCAATACTTTAATTTGTTTTTTTGCAACTTGTACATGGTGAATTTTAATTTGCATATTTGTGAAGTGATATATCGCATATTAATCTATCTTCTATTTTTTTTTAAAAAAAATCATAACTATTTCGATAATATACAAACAACGAGTGAGTATCCCATCGAGAGTTTAAAATTTGCACCCACTGTAAAGAGAGAAAATACCTGGTACATTCTTGCCAAACAATTTTACAAACTACGGTACTAGCTGATGTTGAGTTAATGACATTTTACATATTCAGAAAACAAAATGCGTGCATGTAGCCGCGAAGTTTCTTTCATCTTGCCCAGAAACCCTCCACACCATTGACTTGTGAGTCTGAAGAAAAATTGTTCGTGTAGCAACACTATCTCATCTTTTGATGGGCGAAAAGATTAGAAATCAAAACGGAATGGTACTGTTTACCGCGAACGGCTAGCTAGTAAACGTACTGACTGTCATGTGACCGATTAAACCTCGATGCCGTCGTTTGCCGCGGTTTAATAGTGCTTAGCCTATATTATCCCCCTTTACTCGCTCGATCCTCCACCCCCTCTTCTCCACCCGGTGGACGTGAGGGGAGAGGTGAGAGGCCATCGCCATGAGATCGACCTCTAATTCTCTGTATGATCGCGTGTTATCTTTTCTAATTTTCTCCTCTTTCCTCGCAGATAATTCTGCGGAGCTCGCCATGTTGGCCATCCTGGTCTCTGTCGCCTTCGCCCAGATCCTCGCGATCCTGTCCAACAGTTTCGCGGTGGGCGACGCCGCCGCGGGGTACGAGTACGACGGCGCGGCCGACCACCCCGTCCTGCGCATGGCTGTCTCCACCCTGACCGTCGCCGTCCCGGCGACGTTCTACGTCGGCGTCATGGAGCTCTACGCCCGCGTCACGCCGGTGGCGCCGCCGCTTCGGCGGCTCCTCGCCGTTCTTGCGCCGGGGATGGCGTGGATCACACTCTTTCTTGGTATGCCGCCACTCGTCGTTCTGCTCCTCGGTTGAAGCTGCCGATCGAGGCGCGTGACATGGAGGAGGCAAAGCAAGGAGAGAGAGATCAACACCAACCACTCCTTCGTCAACACGCTCTGCGGTTCGGTGAAAATTCTTATCTTATGGCTGCACCATTTGCAACTATGCAAGAACACAATAATTCTCGCTCAACCTATGTTGAGTCTGGGTGAATTAGCACTGCATCTACAAGAACGGGTCGGCTGGCTGCCGTTGCTTGCTATTCCATCCATCCCAGTGTAACTTAGTACGGCTGTAACATATTCTACCACTACGAATCTAGATAGGTAGCTATCTAGATTCGTAGTTCTAAAATATATCATATTCGTGCTAGGTTGCACTTATATTGGTATGGAGAGAGTTGCGTGTAGTGCTGCAGAGTCTACTGGCAAGCCATAGAACAAGGTTCCTGAGTCAGTTCAAGTGTACTACTACTGTACTTTCATTGCTAGAGTGAGTCCATCGGTGTCCAAGCTCAGACATGCAGACAAGAGTTTATCCTGGCATCCTGCTGCCTGCTGTGTACTAAGGATTTACAGATAGTATATGCTCATACAGCAATAGAAGCATAGAACTACAGTACGTAAAGTCATTAAACAGTGTGTAAGTCATTACTATTATACCATCAATAAAATCTTATGCCCCAAATTTACTCTTGTGATTTTATTACCCTTGTTTTGGAAATGTTCAGGCATGAAGCCGTTGTGGCTTTCTATCGAAAGCTGGATCGCTTATCTTTTGTCTAAAAATGTTCACACATGAGCAGCAACAGGGCATTTCTAAATGTCTAACATGCCAATCATTTTCAAGTGTGCAAGTCATTACTGTTGTGTATAATCCTTGTTTGGGTGTTCTGGATGTTCGGACATAAATAGCAAAAAATTGCTACTATTCAGTACAGTGTATAGCGAATCAGCGGTCAAACGATCTGGTAACTCAAATGAAAGTGAACTTTTTTCTAAAGTAGGAAAACTAGTTGCCTAATATATTAATAAATAAGGAACTGTAAATGTAAATAAAAACTTTGATCAATCATCGGATAAGCTCTGCCATGATTACAAAGTCACACGCGGATAAACCCGTTTTTAAAACTGCTATCGTATTCATAACCTCTAGAAAAATTACTCATTCTTTGGAATCTTTGAAATAGGCTACCTACCCCAAGTAAAAACAAATAAAGAAAGAGAACACAAAACACACATACACATCGGCAAACGCGTTAAGGACAAGCGCGTTATGAATGGTGTTCTTTTGTTTTTTGAGAACGCGTTATGAATGGTCAGTCTACCACATGTCCACATTACTTCTCCAAGTTTGCTTCTTGAACGATTTCTCTCTCTTCTAAGATGTCATATATTAGTAGGTTCTTGACATTGTGGGTTGATTTATGTACGGATTAATTTATATCAGGGATAAGATATAAAGTACAGAAAAATAAAATATTACAGGGCCTTCAGGCTCCAACATATAGAGAACAATTCCGGAAATTTTACATCAATAAATACATCCCTCTTATGTCAGAAATGCAAGAAAAGAAGGATAATCTCGGCGGAAAAGACTGGCTCATGATATTGAAAGGATAAATCTCAGCATGACTTAGATAATTACGGTCAAAGATACATAGGACGTGTTCACATGGATTTTATTGGGAAATCAAGATTTAGAAATAGAAATGGGACTCAAGCTTGAAGCATGATGGTATACCCAGTTTTAAAGCATATGTTATTTCCAATTGCGTGATTTATTTAACACGGACTATCCACAACCTACGGTCATGATAATATGATCTACCAAATCAATGATTAGATATTTCTGATTAACTGTCGAATCTAGATGGATTAATCATAACTTTTCAGGATTAATAATTCTAAAATTTGTATTTAGTAAATATCGACTTGTATTTGATTTGAAGTCTCAATATAATAATAGTATTTTTATTTTTAATAGCTAGCGTGGTGGTCCGCGCAGATTGTGTGGCTAGCATCATTACAAAATTTTCTTACACAATAGTAGTGAACGTACTTTCACACTTTATTGTGAAAGATAAATACTAAAAATGACAATTAATTTTGAATTATGGTAAACTTGATCAAACTCATACTTATAATATTTTGACTAACATAGTAATTTCTATGTCTATAAAGTAAATATGATGTATCCTTTAGTATTGTCTTAATAATACAATAGATCAATGGATCGATATAAAAATTTTACAATATATTTGTTTATCTTATTTCCTCATATTTATCTTTAGACTCATAGTGACATCTTCTCACTATCTCCGATGACATTCATCCACCTACTAATAAAGGCATGGTAGTTTATTACATATTTGTGATAGTTCATAACCAATTTCAAATAACAAAATGCCCCTCGTTATTAAAACCTTTTTTATTAGCCGGCTTCTAATATTTGTAATACATTTTGGATTACAATTACTTGCCTTCACTATTAAGTTACTGATTCCAAAATTCAAAATCAATGAGTACGGGGTTGTACTCCGTTTGGTATCTCAATTATCGTCTTTTCAAGGTTCAATACTTCTAAAATTTAGTAATTAAGCACTCATTATGTTGGAGTTTAAATTTAGTATTTTTTAATCTAATAATTTGAAATTTGGATTTGATAGGATCAGTGACTTAGTACTCCCTCCATTCTATAATATAAGGCACAACAACTTTTTATAAATGTTCCATAATACTCCCTCCATTCCAAATTGATCTACATATAGTTTTTTTTATACTATTCCTAAATGATCTACATATTTATGTTCATTTATTAGGTCTATTCGTTATTTGTGCATTGGAGTAAATGGGCATTGATGTATGCATCCATGCACACATGTATTTATAACCCATATGCAATATCTTGATTTGCTATTGGCTAGGAAATAGTGGGGATGGTGCATACATTGAGTTTGTTGCTAGAATAAATATAGTATGAGAGAGTTATTAGCTTTTCTTGGTCTTGGTATACCTATGAAATATGTAGATCAATTTAGAACGGAGGGAGCATAAGGCATACATACAAACATGCAATTAACTATGACATCTTCTTCATTAAATTATTACTTTTTTAAATCCTCCACTCTCATGTTATCTAATCCTATTGAATGCATGCATTATATTTATTAGGATGATCCAAACTACAAGAGGATAATAATTATTTCTTGGTCTTTGGGTTAAGAGTGGTTGTGTCTTATATTTTAGAATGGAGGAAGTACTCAGTTTCCAGTCTTGGCTTTTCGATTAAAGTTAAAAAGTTTAAAGAGTCCATGGGATTCACATTGGGATTTTTTTTTATCACGTAGTACTAGTATATTAGATACTGTATTAGGTGGTGTTTGGATGCAGGGACTTAACTTTAGTCTCTTTATTTAGACACTAATTTAGAGTATTAAATATAGACTACTTATAAAACTAATTACATAAATGAAAGCTAATTTGCGAGACAAATTTTTTAAGCCCAATTAATCCATAATTAGAGAATGTTTACTGTAGCATCACATAGGCTAATCATGGATTAATTAAGCTCAATAGATTTGTCTCGCGAATTAGTCCAAAATTATGGATGGGTTTTATTAATAGTCTATGTTTAATATTTATAATTAGTGTCCAAACATCCGATGTACTAGGTACTTAAAAGTTTTAGTCACATCTAAACAGGGTCTTAGATGGGCTTTAAAAATGGCCCACTATGTTGTGATAAACATGACACGGATTACGTGAGTTTTAAATGTGGCCCACAACGTTAAACTTGGGACACGATTACACTGCACAGTGCACGAGCGACTACTTCATCCCACGTGACATATAAATCCTCCTTTACCATATAGAAATAGCAATAAACACTTATATCGATCGGTCATTAATTAGTGTATCTTTCTTTGAAACCTCTTTTGATGTCTTATATCTTTCAAACCATATATTATTTTTAAGATCTTTTTCACTGTTGTACTCTGCTCAAAATATATGACAAAACAAGTTCAATGTTGAATATATTCTAAAGTAATTTATTTAAATTGCAAAAGTAACTTAACTATGCAATAGAAGTAACTCTTTATAGCACTAGAAGTAATTACACTGTGAGTGTGAGTGAGTTGAAATAAGAAACTATGTGGAGTAAATCCACAAACAAAGTTAGAGAAGATTTTCAAGTAAATACATATATTCTTTATCTAAACTAATCTCTATTTTATTTTTCTAAAAATAAAATCTTGCGTCATATAGAAAGTAACTCTTCACGATATTAAAAGTAATTACACTACTGGAGAGAAGTAAATTTTAAAGAAATAGAAGTAACTCTTCATAATATTAGAAGTAAATACACTCCTAGAGGAAAGTAACTATAGAAAAATAAAATAGAAATAACTTCAAAGTATTAGAAGTAAGTACACAGCTTGAGAAAATTAACTTTTCATGGCGTTAGAAGTAACTACACACTAACTACACTTCTAGAGTAGCTACGAAATAAAAATAATTTGAATATATTCAATATTAGACTCATTTTGCCACATTTTTTAAGTAGAGCATAATGGTTCAAACGTATGTTAAAAATAATATACCGTCATAGAAATATAGGTAATCAAAGATTCTATGGTAAGAAAATATACTAGTGTTGTTAGCCTCTGTAGCATGTACGTAAATTGATATGACAACTAGCAGATCATCTGGTCCTATTTTTCTGGTTAGTGGTCTCGTTTCTCTATCTTGGTCAGGACAATATCCATGTGTTCGTATCTCAGCCATCATCAACGAATTGGTCAAGATAACTACTTTCAATGCTTTATAGGTAGTTACTTCTATTGCGAAGCTAAGTTACTTCTACGATTTAAGTAAATTACTTTAAATGTTTGAATATATTTAGTATTGGACTCATTTTATCATCTATTTTGAGTAGAGGATGATGGTTCAAACGAAAGTGAAAAATAATGTGGTTTAAAATGCATAAGCCATCAAAGGTATTGTTAAAAAAAGAATTGGCTAGTGTAACCAATCTTTAGTTTTGATGGATGGTGGTGCATAGATTTCTCGCTTTGATGCCATTGCAGTGGAAGCAAGCATGTCGCTCCGATAGCACCAAGACACGGATGGATGGTTGTCGGACGAGTCGCGCGATAATACAAAACTGAGAGCGTTTTCGATTTAGATTTCCCATAAACTTATACCATTAACTAGAATTTTTTTTAAAAAAATGTGGGAGCTTTCGGGTCCAATTAGCATAGGTTTAGATAGATGTTTTCTCAAATCCAACATTCTTCTATGGTCCCGTATCCACAAACTAACCTCAAGTTCAACTTAGTTCTGAACCTCTTAGTACTAGCTTTCAATAAAAGATAAATTTTCTAACATAATATTTGGAATGACATGTTTTAGCCTAAGGCCGCCCGCATGTAATACTTACTACTTCGGTACGGTAAGGGTGTGCTATATATGTTTGTCCTAGACATTTTTTTCCCTGAACGCGCGAAAACTTGCATGTCAATATATTAGCAAGAGAGAAAATATTGTACAACGGCGATATTCCGAAGTGGTCACGAGGGAGGGTTTTACACGAGGAGAAGGGAGAGTAAGGCTAAGGTAAGCTAGGTAAAAACAGGTCCCGAACAATAAAAATAGCTGGAAAATGAAAAAAAAAAGAAACGGGGACTAAAGTAACATATTAACGCTTACCTGCTAGTTTTTGTAAGTTCCTCTTGAATTTAGCCCGTTTCTCTTCCTGCTTGAACTGCCCCGGAAAAATAGACAGAATCCTTCCTGGAAGATTGGAAGTAGACAGAATCAGGCGTCCTGGCCATTAGTCCATTACCTCCATACGAGAGTCTCCATGACCAGTTGAGAGAGGCTCTCTGTCCAACCAATGCTCTGTTACTTTCATCTGTAAAGATGAAAGGGAATTTCATTGCTGGAGACTGCTCCATCTTCCATGGAATCCCTCAATTCAGTGCCACCCATTCGTCACTGCTGATCCACTCCTTCTCTATTTCCTTGCTGTGAAGCAGTCCGCTGATCTGTTTTTGCACTGCATACGCTTCGCTGAAGCTGGAACTCGATCAACCTGCTACCTCTAGGACTAGGAGTACTCCGACCATGGCCACTCCGACTAACAGCGATCACCTCCGGTTTGCCGAGCAAACTGTAAGCCTCTCTGTAACCTTTCCAGTGCGTCGATCTCCCACTCCAGCAACTGCCATATATATCTCCGATTTCTCCTAGCTTTCCTGTAGCACTGCATCCTGAGCTCCAGAGTCCATAAACGCTTGCTCATTTCCTCTCTTTCCATACGCCTGCAGCTTGATCACCGGTGCCATTGCATGAACACACGCTCTCTCTCTCTCTCTCTCAAGAGTTTGCCCAGGTGTTTGTGTGTAGAAATTCTACAGAAGACCCGGTGCTCAAAGGTTGTGCATACACTGATATAGACGTCTATATGGTGTGCAAACCATTTTATAGGAAACAAGGTAGCACACGTTCATGCGAACGCCGTTTTTTCATCTTGACTTTCCGCGATCGGTCACGGCGGCAAGATACAGGCAAAAGCCAAAATGGAATGTGCCAACCGATCGACAAATAATTCAACAAGCAGAATTTCCGCGAAGCAACACAAAATGCGGGACATGCAAGCAAAGCGTACCTTGATGCATCTTCCGGGAAGTTTCGTTGTAGCTTGCTCGAGAGAAAAAAATCTCCCGTAATTCTTTGCGAAATTAGCTCTGTTGATTTTCGCAGAAGCTTCGCCAGGGGAAATTTCTGTCCAGCTGATTCCCATGGGAGGTGTTGGTGTCGGCCGGCGGCAAGAAATCGTTGCTTACTTCTCCGTAAAAAAAAAGAAAAAAAAAGATGTGACCCTTTATAGTTTGTCCAGATTACTATGGCTGTGTTTAGATCCAAACTTCTAACTTTTTCCATCACATCAACCTGTCGTACACACACAACTTTTCAGTCACATCATATCAATTTCAACCCAAACTTCCAACTTTGGAAGAAACTAAATACAGCCTATATTAGGAGAGATCATATTCCTTTATAGGTTGTTTTTTGGACGGAGAGAGTACGTTTGATGGTGACGTATTTACATTTTAAGGGTTCATTCAGATTGTTGCTAAAGTAAACCTTATCAAAATTTAACAATAGCAAAATTTTGGCAAATTAATAATATTGTCAAAATTTTAGTAAGATTGGCTTAATAATATAGCCAAAATTCCATACACATTTATAATATTTAGTAACTAAATATAACCACGTAATTATTAATTTTACTAAATAATGTTATGGTTGAAAATATCATCAATCGAAACAGCTCCTAAAAACCTCTGTATACAGTATACTGGACCGATATGCAATGGATTTATGGGGGCAGATCGCCACAGCCCACCGGCCTAGTGAGCTTCGGCGACCGTGCCTAACCAAAACTCATGTCCTTTCTAAAGGACTTTGGCGTTGTTAGGCCTTGTTCAGATCCCACAGAAAAAAATTTACACCCCGTCACATCGAACGTTTTAACATCTGTATAAAGTATTAAATATATACTAAAAATAACTAATTACACAAATTGCGATTAATTTGTGAGACGAATCTTTTGAGTCTAATTGCTCCATGATTTGACAGTGTGGTGCTACAGTAAACATTTGTTAATAATGGATTAATTAGACTTAATAAATTCATCTCACGGTTTACTGACAGATTCTGTAATTAGTTTTTTTATTAGTACCCGAATATCCCATACGACAACCTATATACCCCAGATCCAAACACCGCCCTTAATTCGTCGACCCAAGCCAAACCAACACGGTCCCGATCAAACCCAAACTTGGGCCTTCTAGCACCACAAAAGGAATAAGTCCAGTTTACCTCCCTCAACTCATGGCCGTGTATGAATAGTATCCCTCAACCACAAAACCGGATATAACCTATCCCCCAACTCTGAAAACCGTTGCAAATCAACTCCCCAAGCAGTTTTGGAGGCGGTTTTGTCCTACATGGCAATTGACTTGCTTACGTGGCAGTTGACTTGCTGAGTCATCAAGCAGGACCCACACGTCAGCAGTCTTCAACTCATCTCTTCTCCCTCACCATGATTCCCTTCAAGAAACGGGAAAGGAAAAAAATCAAGAAGCGGAGGCGAGGCGATATAATCGAGCAGCAAGATCAACGGCAAGACAAGTAGCACATGGTGGTTGCCGAATTCAGAGAAGACGCCGGCAATCACGTGAAACAAGAAAGGGGAACGAACAGAACAAATCAGAGACCACGAAATCGTCGAAGAACACGAGCAAACAGCAAACAAGCTAGCGGAGTTCTTCTAACGTGCGCGCGACGCGGAGCGGGTGTCCGCCATGCACAGCTGCGGGCAATGCCGCCGTCGTCCCCGTGCCGGAGCCTCTCCGTCCTCATGCTGCAGTACAACCCGACGCTCGGCGACATCCCCAGTGGCTTCCTTCTTGGACGGCCGGCGAGCTCCTGCCCCGTGCGCGGCCGGCCGACGAGATCCTCCTCGCGCGAGGACGGCCGGCGAGATCCTCCCCGCGCGCGGACGGCCGGCGAGCTCCTTCCCGCGCGAGGACTGCCGGCGAGATCCTCCACACGCGCGGACGGCCGGCGACTTGGAGGGGCTGCCTCGTCCTCACGACCTCCTCTCAGATGATGCCCCGGCGCCCTCCCGCCTCCTCTGCGTGCTCGAGCCGAGCCGCTCCCCCGCGCGCGGCGCGGCCAGCCGACGAGCTCGTCCCCCGTGCGCCGTCGTCGCCGCCCTGCTGATAGAAGGTCAGAAGGTGAGAGGAGGAAGATATGAAAGAGAAAGGGGAACAGATGAGGGAGAAGATGAGATGAGGTGGAGACTGCTGACATGTAGGTCCCATTTGATGACTCAGCAAGTCAACTGCCACGTAAGCAAGTCAATTGCCATGTAGGATAAAACCACCTCCAAAACCGTCCGGGGAGTTGATTTGTAACGGTTTTCGGAGTTGGGGGATGGGTTATACCCGGTTTTGCGGTTGAGGGATGCTATTCATACACGGCCATGAGTTGAGGGAGGAAAAATGGACTTATTCCACCACAAAATGACCTTACGATTTGTGCGTTAAACGTCGCCGGCCGAGGATAGCCTGCTATCACGGCCTCACGGGCCGACAGCGCGGCCGCACGTAGGGCCCAAAAGTGACGGCGGTGACGCCTCTGTACGTGCATGGGCCGATGGGCGACGTCGCAGTCAATCTATCTGCCCGTATTTCAAGCCCCAGTCGCTGTTGTCGTGGCCTAGTCGGCGTAGTGACTGGCGGCTGCTGCCTGCTTGACTGCTTCTGCATCCGTAGAGGCCATAGCGGGAGTCAGATTGGAACAGCAGCACCGTGTCACGACTCACGAGCCATGTGTGCTGTGTGTGTGAGAATGACATATGGTACACTGATATCTGATCAGGTTCAAAATTTCAGTACGAAATTTCGGTCATATCGGAACCCTCCCCCCTCCCCATATATTATTATTCACTGAAATTTTTAAATTTTGAAAATTTCGTCTATCGATACCCTCCGATAGAAATGTCCAAACCAAAAGATTTAATCCTGTAGCTGATGGGTGATATGAGTATTCCACATTTCCATTATTCCCTAGGATCTGATGTTAGCTGAGGTCGATCTTTTTTCTGCGCGCTGGCTGTTATCTCTTTCCTTTCTCGTCAAATATACTGATTAAAATTTAAGAACTCTGTACTGGCGGATGCTCTAATTTTCTAGCACTACTACTTGTAGTGGAACGTACGTACTACTCTATTAGTTCAGTCAGGCTCCTTGTGTGGACATTGAGAGTTTTTTTTTTTACTAAAGAGAGTTTTTTTTTAATCGACTAATTCCACCTTAAAGATATAAACAAATAACCTACTCGTCCATTATGGCAAATATGACCGTGACGTGGATGCGACTATTCTACGAGTGCGGAGAACTACCCCTTCGGAAGTGATAAGCATGCATGCCACAGAAACAGAATGGTCGGCTTCCAGAAGGAAAAAAGTGGAGAGCAGATTTGGCACATTTGCGCTTTCCGACGCCTTTGCTGCGCGACTCGTTCTTCCTCCGTGAGTTCCAAGCAAGGCCTCAGGCAGTGGCGGAGCTATAAATTTTACCCTGTGGGATCGAATAGCATTGGTTTATATTTTAGTGAGATCATTTTTATAAAATTCAATGGATTTACATGTAAAATGAATTTACATGTAAAATATAGATTAATAAGTGCCACTGCCATCAACATACCTCCGCCACCGGCCGCACTGACCTGTATATGCAGGGTTGCTCATGCACAAAGTCAAGGGAACCTCTTAATACTAGCCTTCAATAGAAGATAAATTTTCTATCATAATATTTGACCTAGACATTTTTTTTTCCTTCAACGCGCGAAACCTTGCATGTCAATATATACCTTGAACGCGTCAAACCTTAAATGTTACTCCGTATTAGAGCAAGGATAATAGTAGAGCTCACTTCCTACTATTAGCCCATCTTAAAGCCAACATATATAATAGATTAGCTATAAGGTTGGCTACAATTTTCTTCTCCTCTCTCTATCTCTCACCTGTGCATTTAATGTATTTACATATAAGTTTGTGTTAAGCTAGTTCTTGCATGAGAGCCAACATCCTTGATATTTTGTTATCTCTCTTCACATAAGTTTATAGTAGACTTATAGCTCACTGTTATACTTGCTCTTAGCAAGAGAGAACCCACCGCACGTCTCCGTCATAGCTACCACCGGCCGGTGTAGCCCGCTTTATCCAGTCCTCTCCTGGGCCCAATCTGGTTTGGAATCTATCGATTATCGGATCCGGCAACATCACCGATCACATGGTTCCACCTCCGCACGCGACGGCCCGACCCCTCCGAGACGGCTGCGCCTGTCCGTGTCCCGCCTACGAATTGCCGCCACGCCGATCCTTTGCGCCACAGAGTAATACAGAGGGAGGTGGGAAGGAACACACAAGTGTGCTTGATATCGAATTCCGCAGCCGCGATGGCCGGTGTTGTTCCGATGATCATCGTTCTGGCGATGGGCGGCGGCGCGCTGGGCGGGCCCGAGGCGCTCCGCCTCTTGCTCACCTTCGCCGGCCGGAGCCCCCTCGTCGACATCGGCATCGTCGTCTTCGTCATCGCCGCGCTCGCCGCGCCGGCGCTCGGCACCATGCTTCTTGCGTGCTTCTACCGCACGCCGCGCGGCGCAAGAGGTGCGGCGGCGGCGGCCGCTGACCTCTTAGCCAAGATGACGCTGGCGGTGTCCATGGCGGTAGCGCTCCTCGTCTCCGCGTCCCTGCTCGTCCTGCCGCTGTTCCAGTCCGGGAACGTCGTCGTCGGTCTTCTCGCGCTCGCCGTTCCCGCCTTCGTCGTAGGCGCCAGCGCCGCGCGCGTCCGCGGCGTCGCGCATCTCCGCAGGGCGCGCAATGCCTCCGGCGCGGTGACGGACGCGGGGCGCGCCGCCGTGACGACCCTGACGGTGTCCCTCGCCGCCGTATGCATCCTCCTCGGCTCTTGCGTCGCGGTCGGCGGCCTCGACGCGCACCACCTCTTCACCTCCTTCGCCTTGAAGAACCCAATCATCCACGCGCCCACCGGCGTCGCCACCGCCGCCGTCGTCGGCACCACGCTTCTCGCCCTCTTCTTCCGCAAGGCGCAAAATGCGGCGGCCGCGGCCGCGGCCGCTGCCCCACTACCGGCCACGGAGCGCGCCGCCAAGATTATCTCGGACGGTGCCAATCCCGGCGGCGGCTGCACGTGAAGGTTCCCGCGCCGCGAGCCCGCGACGCGGCCACCGTGTACTACCTGGAGTCTGGAATCACCGTACTGTCATCGCAGTCGTGCAGTGCAGAGTGTAGTCCTGTAATGCTAATACTCATGCTCAGCTCGTGCAGATGGGGAACGTGACTGCGTGAGCTATTGTGATGTTTTAATTGTTGATTCGTTCTGTATTCAGGTGAGATAATTAACAGTGAAGTTTCAGAAACTCATACTCACCTTTTTTTTATTTCATCCGCTTGGCTCACATTTTTTTCTTTCCTCTGTCTTCCAAGTGGTCGACATTACGACAGTTGTTCGTGCGTTATTCCCTACCTGAACATCTTGTTTAGTATTTATAGTATGAAAATGCACGAGTTCTTTCTTGTGTTCACTAGTTCTCCTGTTTCTTTTGCTAGATAGGCATATACCTGTATTTTGTATGTTCTCCATGTGGACTTTTGGGGATTTGGGAGCAGAGCACCGACCGGTTTTGTTAAGTACTCCCAGTAACAGACTGGCAGTTGTAAAATATTGAGCGTGTCATGGCGGCCTTGGGGGTGGGGGGGGATGTGGATCCTCTGACATAACGTCAGGTGACTTTGTGTCACTTACATGTGGGTCTATCTCACTATAGGCCCACATGTCAGTGACACAAAATCAGGGTAAGGTATGTTAGAGAATCTTGTTCCGTCGGGTGTCATATATTGTGAGAGTTGTTGCTAGTTGGTACAATGCGATTGTTGTAGAGTGATTGCAGCACGAAACCACAAAAACAGCCACTTTGATTGTCAAGCTGAGTCAAATTCCATGATTTGGGAAATCGTGAAATGCGTCAATCCAAACAAAAGAAAAGTTGTGATGGCAATATTATGTTGCAGACGGACAGCCAAAATGCGCAAACTAAGTGAATTCCACTCCGTGTGACCCTTTTTGTTATGGGATCACGAAGATTGTTGATGATGAACCACCACGTAATAAGTGCACGAAGTGTTTCCAGTGCAAAGACGTCTACGGTTTTCCAGTGCACGAAGTGTTTGCCCGGTTAGAACGTCCTTAATCTTTCTCAAAAACCGTTGACGTGTATGGATATATACGTTCAGGCTAATTCAGCTCATGAACAACTAATGGGCCGTAGCTCGGTGTTACCCTGAAAGGAATAAGTTCACTTCATGACCCTCAAAAGTGATCGAAATCTAAACCATGACCCTAAACTACAAAACCGGATATCTCGACCCCCAAACTCCTAAAACCGGTGCAATTTGACTCCCTGGACGGTTTTGGGAGGCGGTTTTGCTGACGTGGCGCCTACGTGGCAATATTGACCGAGTTGTTGTTACACGTGGCGTTGACGTGGCACCTACGTGGCGGTAGAAATAAAAAATATGCGTGGGACCCGTTTGTCATTCACACACATAAAAAATGTGGGGCCCACTGACATGTGGGCCCCACATGTCATCCTCCTTCCTTCTTCCTCCTCCCTCTCTCCCTTCTCTCTCTCTCCCTTGTTCACCCTCGGCCGGCGGCGGGGCATGGGCTGCGGTGTGGTGGCGGCCGGTGGGAGCTGAAGCGCCGGCGGCAGCAGGAGCTAGCTGGAGCGGGTTCTGGAGCGCCGCCGGCGTGGTGGACGGAGGTGGCGCAAGGAGCTCGTCCCCTGGGTCAACGGCAACGGACCTCGGCGCGACGAAGAGGCGGTCGCCCCCCTTCGACGGTGGCGGCGGTCCCCCGAGTGGAGGAGTCGACGATGGCGAGGCTAGCGCTTGGCGAGATGGGGTCGGCGTCGTGGAGGAAGTCGACCGGCGGGGGTTGCCCTTGGCATCGTCGATGGCCGAAGACGGAGGCGAAGGTCGAAGGCGGCGGTCCACGCGGTCGAAGCCGGCGGCGCAGCCGTGCCGGGGTGGAAGAGGGAGGCAGCCACTTGGGGCCGTTGCGAGACGAGCAGGACGGCGGCGGCGGCGGCCACAAGTTCTGGCCCTCTGAGCTGGAGCAGGGCCGAGCCACCCACCCGCCACCGCCGCCGCTCCGGCCTTCCACCACCCGCCGCCGCCACTCCAGCTAGCTCCCGCTGCCGCCACCAGCCGAAGGGGAAGAAGGGGAGAGAGAGAGAGAGAAGGGAAAGAGGGAGGAGGAAGAAGGATGACATGTGGGATCCACATGTCAGTGGGCCCCACAATTTTTTTATGTGTGAATGACAAACGGGTCCCACGCATATTTTTTTATTTCTACTGCCACGTAGGTGCCACGTCAACGCCACATGTAGCAAAGACTCGGTCAATATTGCCACGTAGACGCCACGTGGCGCCACGTCAGCAAAACCGCCTCCCAAAACCGCCCAGGGAGTCAAATTGCACCGTTTTTGGGAGTTTGGGGGTCGAGATATCCGGTTTTGTAGTTTAGGGTCATGGTTTAGATTTCGATCACATTTGAGGGTCACCCTAAAATTAACTATTCGACCCAGCACAACCCAGTGTGGCCCAAAACAGGCAAGATAGGACCCAATTAAGCCCAATATGGTCCTGTGCGCCTCCCTCGAGCGTGTGACTGTGTTTGTGACGCGGTGGCTGGTGAAGGCCGGGGTGAAACACTGATGATTATACATACCCGTCTCGCGATTAGCTTATGTGGCAAGGGCATAATAAATAAAGATAAATAACAAAACATAAAAGTTTTGGACATGTTCATCTAAACGTCCACATCCCTTAATAAAAACTCTGAAAGCTACCCCCACATAACACCTTGAACTTTCGGTAGGCCCCTAAGAGCCTGACGACCTTTTCAGTTTCTGATGAAAAAAACGGGCACAGCGAACCTGAAGCATCACGACCCCGAACAGGAGCACACATGGGAGAAAAACAACAGGAGCTACTCCTACATGGGATCGTGCCAGCGGTACGCGGAGTACGCGGTACACGGCCATCGCTTTTAAAATCTTGTGCAAAGCGGCAAGTGGGCGACGAAAAAACAAAGCCGAAAAGGGGAAGAAAGGGGGGGCTTCAGCGAGAGCTCATCTTCTTCCTTCCTTACCTACGTGCGATTCCTCTTCTCTTCCGCGCCATTTCTTGATCCCCGTCATGGCAGGTGATATTGTGACGGCCATTGTTTTCGCGCTGGCCGCCGCGGTGCTGGGCGGCCCGGAGGCGCTCCGCCTGTTGCAGGACGTCGCCGGGAAGAACCCCGCCGCCGACGTCGCCATCATCGTCGGCGCCATCTGCGCCGTCACCTCCGCCGTGCTCGGCGCCATGCTCCTGGTGCGCTTCATCCGCGTCGCGGGCGACGCTCCTGACCGGGCCACGGAGCGCTTCGCGCGGGTGACCCTGACGGTGGCCTTCGCTGCCATCTTCCTCGTCGCCGGCTGCCTCCTCGCCGCCCCCGCCGCCGACAAGTTCGCCAGCTCCGCCTGACGCGCGGGGGGCGCGCGCTCGGCCGCCCGGCGGATTCGGGCGCGGCTGCAACTACGAGAAGTCGAGAAGCTGCCCGCGCCGCCGACCTGTGGTGCGCCGTGCGCGGCGAGCCCCGGTGCTGGTAGCCTGGTACAGTGGTACTACTCGACGTTTTACTACGGCTCCATCATCTGTGTGTGTGTGTGTTTTTTTTTTTGCTGTTTTTCTGTGGTAGTCTTGTGATGTTAATTTGCGAATGTGAGTGATATTCTGAGATCACTTGATATGATTCTTGAATAAGCTCAATCAATTGGAACAGAGTTATAGGATTTTGTGATCTTTCTTGCCGGTCCGATTTGGGGACTTGGGTGAACATATCGGAGACAGTGAAACTGGAGATATTCATATTCATCACGGAATGTCCCTGGATGATTTCATCTCCTGATGCGTCTGTTTTAGTTCTTTCCCTAATGCCATATGCACATATCTTTATGTTACTATCTCTGTTGGGTTTGGAGTTTCGGATTCTCTCTTTTTGGTCCATATGTTTCGCGCATTTAGTTATGCCGATTTGATTGTGACGTATCACCAGTTAACCAGCTTGAGGGAGAGGATCAGAGGAACAAAGGTTATACTAGAACAAAAGGGTTGTTGGACAAACCGTCTCATGCACGTGCCGTCAAACACTTATATCGATCGTATGGTACTCTAAAAATTTTGTACCCCGACACGTACGTTCTGGACAGGTCAGTATCCGGTTCTAGCCTAGTGAGCTTCTCGGCCTCGATCTCTGACTCTCTCGTTGCGGTGGCTGATTGTGCAGATGAGATCAGGATGGAAGTGTTTGAGCAGCGAGGTGTCGATAAGCTTGGCACTGGCACGTCTCAAAGGCACGATTTCAGCAACGATTTGTTCCATGTTGCAGAGGAGGACGGCTACCACTGGTAGCATGGGTCCATCCATCTCACCAACTGCGTCAGAGAACGGTGGTAGTGGGGGGCGTACGCGGTACGCCCAGAGAAACAATTGGACAGACGGTCGCTATCTCGCTCATAGTAAAAGCGAACTGAAAATGCATTTTCAATAGTTTCAGGTCGCCATGTGCATGTTTGCATAAATAAAAGGGCCTTCCTTCAAAGAAAAAAGGGACACCAAAAGCGGAGTTTGGTAAAACTAACTGGAATTAGATGTAATACATTCTATTGCAATGAATTTGGAAATAGATATGCTTAAATTTATAGTACTAAGTTGTTTTTTTGAAGGATGAAGGAAGTATTGTTCTCTCCTGGACTGAACATTTTGCCGCATAATTTTCCCGTCGTGATTTATCTCCAGAGGTGGATTATTGCCACGCCATACAGTAGGGGAATTTAAGACACGCCACGTCGGTATCTGTACATTGTACCAAGACGGCAGTTCTGCTTGTACCCAACAGGAGAAGCAGCTGGTCTAGCCAATCAGCACATCAGTCTACTTTAAAAAGGGACAATTAGTCGTCCCAGGACGGTCAGATCGGCGGCGAGGCGTGACGAGGCGATTCATCACTCGTGTAACCATTGAAAGGAGCTCGTGTCGCTGTGCCGTTTCGGCATATGCCACGAGCGTTTATGCCCCCGTTGAGACTTGAACAGCGCATTCACATCATGTTGCTGCCTGCTGCCTTCAAGCTAAAGGCAGAGGATATCTTCACAAATGGACGGCCTGTTTAGATCGCGAAAAGAAAATTTTTAGGGATCACATCGGATGTTTGACCGGATGTTGGAAAGGCTTTTCGGACACGAATGAAAAAACTAATTTCATAACTCGCCGGGAAATCGCAGGACGAATCTTTTGAGCCTAATTAATCCGTCATTAGCATATGTGGGTTACTGTAGCACTTATATGGGTTGAAATCTCGACCTGCTTTCGATCCTGTAGGGGAATTGTCACCCCTACTAAACCCCAGAGCCTCTGCTGATCGTCACCCCTCTTAGCCTAGAACACCAAGACGAGTCGCTGTTGAATCAATCCAACACACTTCCTCTCTATCACTGACATGCGGGCCACAACCCCTCCATCATAAAAGAGCAAGACCAAACAGATAATGGGGCAATTCCATAAAAAATAAAGATGAGTCTAACCCATTTCATCTTTTCTCCAAACTAAACATACAGTAAACTAATAGGTGTATTTAGTTCACGCCAAAATTGAAAGTTTGGTTAAAATTGAAACGAAGTGACGGAAAAGTTGAAAGTTTATGTGTGTAGGAAAGTTTCGATGTGATAGAAAAGTTAGAAGTTCGAAGAAAAATTTTGGAACTAAACTCGGCCTAATATTATGGGATATGGATACGCCGATACGGAGATCCAACACATACAGGTAGAGAAAATCAGCCGTCAAGATCGAAGTAGTCCGTAATTGCTTCCACACCCACGAAATGAAATATGAATGCCAACCCGCCTTTCGCTTTCGCTGCCCAGATGACCGACGCACCGTGCCGACGTGGAACGAGGTGTCCTGCACGGCCAACTAGCCATGCCCAAACCGGGTGCCGAAACCTGAGCTCCAAATGCGCATCTATCGGCTATATTACCCGGAGCAAACGTTCTTCGGTTCTTCCTCCTCCTCCTCTGTTCTTCTACTTCTACCTTTTCTACTAGACAGTGAACAGGGTGAGCGAGGCAGAGAGAGGAGAGAATTTTCTCTGTTTTCTCTTTGGTATTTCTTGCGATTTTTTTTTTGTTTTGGCTCAACCCGTTCCCTTGATCCCTTCCGTGCGTGCCGTTTTTGATTCCCATGGCTTCTGATCTTGTGATGGCAATTGTTCTCTCTCTTGGCTGCGCCGTGGCGGGCGGCCCCGAGGCGCTCCGCATACTGCTCGGCCTCTCCGGCCGGAGTCCCGTCGCCGACATCGCCATTTGCGTCTTCCTCATCTGCGCCGCCACCGCGCCAGTCCTCGGCACCGTGCTTCTCGCGCGCTACTTCCGCGCCGCGGGCAAAGCGGACGGCGTTGGAGGCGCCCCCGCGCCCGCCGTGGATCCCTTCGCGCGGGTGACTGTCGCGGTGGCGCTCGCCGTCGTCTTCATCGTCGCCGCCTGCCTCCTCGTCGTCCCCTCCGCCGGCCGCGACCCCGGCTGCGCTGCCTGACGCGCCGCGCCGCGCGCCGTCGACGTGGACACGACGACACGTGGTGCGGTGGTGGGTAGTGCCGGTGCGCGTACCGCGGCTTCTATCCCGTTCGTACGCGGTGTAGGTCACATGTTATGTTTGTGCCTTTGTGGTGTCTGGATTGCGCGGTCTTTTTAGCGGTTAATCAAGCTCTCCTTGTACGCAGCTCATGCAGAGGAAGCAGCTGCTGGTTTTTTATTTTGTCATTCCACCTATACAATCTTACCATTCGTCGATAGGTTGTAGACTTGTAGTGTTCGTGTCAATCTGCAGCCGAGAGAAATACTATGAATGTATTTTTTTTTCTCTCGAGATAAAAGACTACCTTTTCACCAGGCAAACAGATCACCGGGCAAAACTCTGTAAATGTTTCGTGGTGCTCTTGTACTACCGGATGATAATAACGGTCCTTACCAATACGAACGGTGCAGTCCGAAATATGTACAAATCCAGAGTGTTGCCCGGTGAAACGCAGGGTTAAGCAAATGAAAGCCTGTACTAATCCAAACAAAATAAGATAGTTTGCCATCGTCCACAATCCGGATTCGGATCAGGTGCAGTCACGACTGTGACTATAACTTTGGCAGTACCCAATCATCCAGCCATCCAGCACACGAGGGATGGCCCAGATTTAACCGTGTCATGCATCATTTTAGCTATTTGAACAAGCATAGAACAGCTTCAGTTCAGATTTTGCCTGCAATTTCTCTCCTTTTGATCTGAACTAGCTGGGTGGCCCGCGCAATTGCGCGGCTAGCACCGATACAAAATTATATATTTTTAATATGATTTTATTTATAATTTATTCAATAGATATTTCATTGTTTTAAGACTTTGAAAGACCAAACCATATCATCCCCATATTTCTAATTTTGTAACTTTTATAAAAATCACATCAGTTGCTACCCCTTGCTTTTTTTTGTCACCCTTTTCTTTATTTGCTTTCTCGATCTACCATGGCTTATATTAATTCTCCTTTTAACCTTTAAAAATTGGATCTTATAGTTTTTTTTGAGTTTATTGTCTCATTGGGTTTTATTTTTTTATTTTTAGAAGTCCCATTAAAAGCTGTCAATATACTTCTCTACGGCCCATCCGCTGCTTCCTCTCTTTATTGTCATTGGGATTTTAAAAATTGAACATAATTATCATTTGAGTTCAATTTTTACTTTATAGAGTCCCACCAAACCGTCTGAACTCCTCTACGGCTCGCCCCGCTTCTTCCCACTCTTTATTATATTTGAGATTTTAAAATCGAATGTGATTATCATTGAGGTTTATTTTTTACTTTTTTAGAAATCCCGCCAACCGTCGTGACCGTGCTGCTTAACGGCATGTCCGTCGTCACTCCTTTTAATTGTCATTGGGATTCTATTTGGGGTTTTGTTAATAGTTTTTAGATGTTCCATCAACTGTCACCAGGGTTCACCATACCGCCGGTAACCGCGCGGTTACCGGGCTTACCGCGGGGGTACGATAATATAAATACCGCAGTAACCTCCTTAAACTCAAATAAATTTAAAAAATAATTTGAATTTTTGATGAATTTTGCATGGTTTTGTACGGTTTTCACGGTTACCGCAGTTACCGCGCGGTAACCGTGCTTACCGCCGGGGCGCGGTAACCCCGGCCCCGGCGGTTTGGTAAACCCTGGCTGTCACCACCCTACTCCTTTACAGCCCCGTTACTTCTTCGATATTTATTGTCATTTATCATCGTTGTGTTCTAGATGATTTTTTTTTGAAATTTTCATATTTTTCATTCCGATAGATTTTATTTATAAACTATATTCCTAGTTGTTTTATTCTATTTTCAGAATTTATTTTATTACTTATTTGGAATTTTAATTAATCTCGTTATGGGTTCCAGATGGTGTATTCTTTAAATAGTCTTTATTTTTTATTACGAATTTAAGTTATTTTTAAATTGCATTCCAAGTTGAACTCTTCTTTTATTTTCTTATTTCTAATTTCGGATTTTATTTTACTTTTTATTTTGAATTTTAATTAATCTCGTATTGGGTTCTAATATATGGACTTGTATGAAATGAGGGCACTATATTATTTTTCTGTTGCTGCAGCCTAAGCGTGCTGGACTGGTATCTCCACCCTATATATGTGCGGCAATGTATGTTGGTTTAGAATCATAACTCTATACTATACAGTTCTGCAATTGATTTTTCTAAACGGACAAGGACTCCTAGTGCGGATTGTATGATCTATAATTAGATTGATATGATTATATTTTATACGGTAAATCTAGACCATTATTCTTTTAGTAATTTCAAATTTGTATTCCTACTCGAACTCTTTTTTTTTCTTTTTTTCTAATTTCAGCAATTTATTTATTTATT